AGCAATAGTCGAGGGACATTGCACGACCATCGCAGTACCCCTGCACATGGAGCAATATCGTGTGGAGCGACGGTCGCACGACAAAAATTGCCTTGTATGCGGCGGGCTCAAGATCTGCCTTTCTCAAGCGAAAAAATTGAAGGGGAAGGGTCTCCTCCCCAAAAGACTTCCAGCGTGCCGTACCCCAAATGTAGGTTTTGCCTGAAATCGACATCTAAACAGCAACCCATGTCCCAAAGTTTTGGCTTTTTATATGTCCAATTTGCTGAAGCGGAAAAATTTATTTGAAACCATTCCCCCGAAAATGTGTCAGGGAGGTACCGTAAAAGTAGAATTTTCCCGGAACTCAACACTTCAACAGCTTATCAAGTTTCAACTTTCCCTCACATCTAGAACATGGTTAGAATTAACACCAGTCACTCAGTCACGATCGTCTATACAGAGTATGGCAAAGGCAGATGAGTTCCCTGCTCCTAACTTAGGCCTGTCTTCAAAATTTATTCCAAATTCATTGCTTTTAAGGCTATGTGCTAGAATTGGAAATGAAGTTTGAGAACGAAAGTGGACAAGAGTTAATGTTTGTAGCGAAGAGGACACATCCTAATGTTCTACTTACATATCATCTGAGCAACATCCATGAATAATCACTCATTGCCCAGTTTTTTGCAATTTGAATTCGGATGAAGTCGGTTAGGTCAATCTATGATGAATGTAAGTTTGTGAAAAGAGTTTCAGTAAGGAAAAAGATTTGCAGGTTAAAAGTCCTTCACCTTCTTTCGCCACACCCTGTATATATTACATTTCCCCTGAATGATCATTGAGTCAAGGGGGAGGAAAGACGAGACGAGAGTTCTGACACAAGCAACACTGCGTACAATTAAAGCAAGATGGCTGCCCACAGTCAGAAGTCGGGGGGCGCCTGTCTTTCCCTCGGACCACCAAGTACACATGTTTTGGATGGAATTCGTGTTCTCCCCTCCTTTCCCCTTGGGTAGTAGAGTGGAAAAAAGTTATTTTTCAAGATGATTCGCTTAATCAAGTGGTCCATGAAACCGCTCACCCTGAAGATATCATTGCAATCGATAGGATCACTACTGGAAAAGGGAAGTCTGGTACAATAGTCATTTTAGAAACACTTATGGTTTGCTTGTAGAAGACCCCAAGTCTTACCTTAGAGATTGTGAAGTGTGAACGATCCTAATTTTCAAAGCTCACCAGAGTTGGATCTAGACATATGAACAGCTAGACCAATCTACAGCTTAGGCTTGGTTTTGTATTGGGAAGGTACTGTATATGTGTGGTTTTTCACAAGCAGCCGAGAATGTTTCTCTTTTTACACATTTTGAATTGAAATCGTAATCTCCCACCCAAAGGCATGTTTCCAGCAGAATTCATTTGGAAACATTGGAGACTGGGGGGAGTGAAATTTCTCCAGGGGGGCATGCACTTAACCTGTTACCGTTCCAGTGAGGATGGTGGTATGTCAACAGAGTAGTATCAGAATATCTCTGTCATGTTTCTATATTGGAAAAAACAATATACTGCAGGGGTTAAGGTGTCTGAATCCGTGATTGTGCAAGGGATATAGCTATATTTTTTTTAAGGCCAGTCTCACACCAATGTGGTAAAATGAAAGGATTTGCATGCCTATTCTAGTCCTATTTTTATTCTTGAGCATTTTCTAGCAATTCCTCTTCCTCAACTTTAAGGTCTCATGATAAGCCTAGTAGCCAACTAAAGCCTGTTGAATAATCTAAACAAGTTAAATGCAATGTTGAGCCCAAGATATCCAAGTCAATACTTATAAGGTAAAGTTGCTTAAAGGCTCTCACCTGATTCAAAGACATGTGAGATGATTAAAAAAAGTCAATGGTGGGAAAAACAGGGCAGCATCAGCAATCATGGGTATTAGCCACCAGCATGACATTTATTTCATTAGCATTAGGCAAGTTTTTCACTAACTGATATGGAAAAGAGTCAGCTACAGGCTTCTCTCGCTTTATATGGATTTGCACTTGCACTGTATATTTTTTTTACTATCAATAATTTGGAAAGTACAGGGTGTGGTTTGCAGATACATGGCCTGAGTTTATTGAATTTTTGGTATAAAAAAACCATGCAAGTGCGAATCTGTGTAAAAGAAACCTATGTAAAGTAAGGGAAGCTGGTACATAACCCCCCCGTAAAGTGAGGGACTACTGTACTGTACTGTAAAAGAAGCAATAAAGCACGGCAAATGGTCAATGCATTGTGATACCATGTAATGTCTCACTGCAGTAAGCAGTTCATATTGGGCATTGGGCCTGGATGTAGGTGTATTTAGTTTTTGGCCTCCCATTGACAGAAAAAGGTGATAAACTGGCTAGGCCCCTGCAGAAGTCTCATCCTGCAATCGGAATGTCTGTACATGAAGACGTGGATATGCTTTGCTCATCTTGTATCTGCCTTGGGTTGGGGGAATGTACCACTCTGCCTTGTCCAGGAAGTACAGATACAGTATACCTTATAAATCACTAATGCTGATTATGGGCCAGGTATCCTTAGTCTTGTGAGCACCATGCACTCTCCTTTCATATGGCTGCTACATTATGTGCCCACTAAGGTCAGGCATGTGATACATAAGAAAGAAAGTTGGGGTTCAGATTTATGTTTGTGCTACAGGCAGACATCACTAAAAAGTTTTTCATGAAAAGATTTATGGAAGGTCAAGATTTACTGAGGCTTGAGAAATCATAGATAATGAACAAGTCTGCAACCATATATAAGTGGGTCTTAACTTTCATTTCAATGCATCTAGCCATATCCTTTCATCCCATTCCTGACTCACAAACAAGATTTGTAAATGTTCTACTCAAGGACAACCAGATGACTTACTTAATCGAGACCTTTGATCTGATTGGTGAACACGAACTGAACAGTGTCTAGTTGCAGAAATAGCATCTCATTTGCCCCTACCTCTGAATGAAATGAACTTGCAATGATTTACTATGAACATGGATGTCACAATGTACAAAGTCAGGTGTAGGTTGGCTATGATAAAAGTTGGTCCTGCCCATCATTAGTGTGTTTCACATTCACGCAAATGATCATGGATGCCCACTTTTGTTTGAGGTTGCAAGCCATTCCCATTCTGATACCTCAAACTGTAGCACCTGTGAGATTGGCTAATTCCCTTGGCCCAGATGGAATAATGTCTGTCCAATGTTGTGTCTGGGGGCCATTATTGGAATGATGGTATACGCATAAGAAACTCTATGTTGCCAAGGTGTTCACTTAACAAAAGGCCTAGGCATGGCCACTGGTTGCTTCATCTCATAGACCTAGGCAACCTGTGATCTGCCCCTAAGACCTGCTACAGGATCAAGTTTAGGTGTTCTCTCCTAAAGCACTAGGACTGGGTGAGGTGCATTTGCCAAGCACATGCCCTGTTGCACTCTGTCATGCTAATATTTGCATAAACTTATAGATAATTCAATCTCAATTCACCCAATCGAGTAAAAATTGTTCATTGACAAACTCTGGTTCTTTTATTTATTTTTTTTTGCCAATAGGTATTTGTAATAGGAGTCACTTTACTTTTTTTTCTCCAAATTTTTACCATACATAGTATAGGTGATTGAATTGTTTTAGTCGTGAGGGTGGGGCTTATTTTGCTGAAAGTAGGTATCATTCACATTCAAGGCCTCATATCTGCAAAAATATGCCTGTTATACTTTGTTAATGTTCTCATTTCATAAAGGAAGCCACAGAATTTCTTGATGTGTTTATACCCGAAATACGGTAATGCCAACAATGAAAATGAGCTTGGGAAAAGAAAGCAATGTGACTCTTATAATTACCTATCAGCAAAAAAGTCAGGAGTTGGATTGAGGAGCTTGAATTTTCCTCTTTAGGGTGAATTGGGAATGAATGATCCATATAAGTGGGTACTGCATGTCCTATTTTTTAAAAGTAAAGAAAAACACCATTCCTGATGTGTGACTGCTGCATGACTTAGAAGTTTAAGGATGGAAGCATAAGTTTGGTGCATGCTTTCAAGAACCTCTGATGATGTACCAATATTATGCAAAATCATGAAATGGAGAATTCATTGGCTCCAGTTTGGTGTATGTTCATTGTTATTTGGTGGAAAGTTAAATTTGGTCATTGGTAGATCCTAATTATGAAACTTTTTGCAGTGGCCTATCTATCTGGCCCTATTTTTGCCTATGGCTATCATCTATGAAAGCTAGGACTACAGTGGAGTAGACACTGATGCCAACAATACCAGTCTGCACTCATCCACCTCAATGTTAAATTGGTTTGGTTACATGGTTTTTTTATTTGATAGGATGCTCAGGAAAGTAAATTGGTACATTTAGGCCTATGTGTCTGGCCTCAGGAGAAGTAGACCTTGCCACAGCTCTTGTAAAAATATGGGACACAAGTGAAAGTGCATTTTCTAGATCCTTGGCATAGCAGAGAGTTTTATGTTGTTCATGTTTGATCTGGTCCTCTTTTGACTTAAAAGCCTCTGGTTACTGGTCAAGGGATAAATCATTAATGGAATGTAATGATTTACATTGAAGTTGAATTATGGAAAAAATTTATTATAGCAGCTGAAGACAGCTCTGTTGCTGTTATAAAGGGTGTTCAAAAAGTCACTGTGCAGTAGAATTCTTTTATTGTGTTGCATGCATTTAGTATTGTACTGCATATCACATGTATTGCATCAAATTTCCACTCAATACTTCATCAAATATTAGCACCATCCCCAATTCACATAATTTATTGTCTGTAATTCCTAGCTACAGTGAGGCCTCCTACATTGTGTTGTGAATTCTACTGCACAGTGACTTTTCAAACACCCTGTAGATCGAGGCCAATCATAATGGTTGCAGCCTGAATGCACAAACCTCATTTAGGGGAGATAAAGGGGCCTTTAAGCTAAAGAGCACTTTTTTCTCCATAGCTGTCCATGTTTTCTTAAAGGACTGTTAACTGAAGGTGGTTTCTGCCTTAGTCTCCCAGAGAGCTTTAAATCATTCCTTTCCTGTGAAAGAAGTTCCTGCAGAATGCCTTTAAGCTATATGCAGGTATAAAATGCTTGTGGTTCAGCAACATTGAGCTATCTTCAGTGGAAGTAGCATGTCAATGGCATTTCAAGAGGCTTTGTTGGAGAAGAGGCTACATAGTCTCGCCAATACTCAGGAGAGTATTCAGTCTATGTCTGCATATTGTCTACAAGGAAAGGGAAAGGCCAAACAAGTTATTGATGTCTGGCTCAAGGTGGTGAAGAAAGGTAGGCCTAGACTTGGTTCTTGAATTGGATTGAGTGATGTGCTCTCCCAGAGTCATGCCATGTTCCCTCATTTCCAGAGCGAGTATCTCAGCGCCGGAATCTGTTCTATCTTGCTAATGATGTCATCCAGCTTGCCAAGAGGAAGAACATCAAAGAATTTGTAGAAGGGTGGAAGGAAGCATTGAAGATGGCTACGCCATTTGTGAGGTCAGCCATGGAAGTCCTTCATTTTGACCATGCTTGGATTTAGGACAGTATTGATAATTCTCAAAGTATGTTATTGGAAGATGGCTAATACCAGGATCAGTTTTTATGCTTGTGTATAGGATAGGCCAGTTTCACGGGGCAAGTGCCATCAAGATGACATTAACTGGAACTGGGTATGGCAGTTCTTATTGACACACTGGGTATAAAGTGGTGTAAAACATTTAAAATGACTTACTGATTGAAAAACTTGTGCTTTTCCAAAATCACCTAAAATAATATAAAAAAAGAGTCCAAATCCAAGAAAGTAGAATTGAAATATCTGGTCATACTTTCATCAAAGGAGTTTTTTTTGGAAAAGGTTCGCATCTCCTCTGCTCTTAGGCATTTGTACATATCTATGTGGAAGCACTACTTTATCATTATTTACTATCATCATTCATGACTATAATTAGAAAAAGAACCCAATTTCACAGGAAAAGGGTCTATGCTAGGATAGTCCACAGACCAAGCCAACATTTTGAGTAGACCTACCATGAAGCACATACTTAGGTTCTGTTTTGCATTCTTTTCCCCAGATTAAGTTCAGGTAGTTTCTACAACTGTGGTAGTTTCTGACCTGGTAATGAATGTAAGGAAACTGATATAGGGGGGAGGGATGGGATATACCATGCACATCAAGTATTAAAGAAAAGTTAAGAATGGTCAGTATTAGAAACAGATGTAGGGGATAGACTTAAGACAAGTTTCCCTGGTTTAATGGAAAACACTTGAATTGATTAGAGTCCAATCCCCAGTCTTAGGACTTGTACTGCCCTACTTGGATTATCATGTCATATCTATGCTTCTTTCATTTACTCTGCTCTGAAATGCATAATATATCTATCTATTAGGGGTTCTTTTTATTAGGGGTCAATGTAGCTGAGCCATTTTTCTGGAATGAGGTGCAAGGTATACTTTTTAAGGGATCTCACTCAAGGA